CTCCGGGCGCGCCCCGCCGCTGCTGCCCGCCGCAGCGGCCCGCCGCGGCCGCGACGGGCGCCGACACTGGACGCCACCGCGGGGGCCGTCACCACCGGCGTCGCACGAGGAGGAGAGGGAGGAGGCGGTGGACAAGGGGGCATCGCTGGTTCGAGTGGGCGGGAGTCGGAAAGGAGGGGGGAGGGAGCAGGGAGGGAGGGAGGCAGGGAGGGAGGGAGGGAGGAGGGGGATTTTCTGCATGGCTATATTGTACTCGACAGCCTGATGCGGAACATGTCGGATGATACAGCTTATACCTATGTATTTCGGCGAATTGCCCTGCAAACGGAACGTCCTGGCAGAGTGTAGGAACGAAACATGTGCCGTGGACAAGCCTGGCGGAGGCGAAGCGTACTAGATGCTAGACTGAATTATAAAACAGGGCTAGGATCGGGATAAATCGCTCCAGAGCGTTCCAGAGTGCTCTCAGAGGGTTCCGGAACGCTCTGGAGCGGCCGCGGCGCCCAATACATCCTCCAAACCCGCCGACTCTCAGAGATTTCGAGGTATCCCGATCCGATGTTGTCCCGATCTTCGCGTCGTTTAAAATCAGATGTGAATCAAGACGAAGATCATCTCAGGTGCAGCTGCCAGGCGAAACCGGCCGTCTCCAGGGAGCAGCGCCAGGGCCCAAAGGCATGGCGCAAGGGCGGGCAGCGCAGCCCGGAGACCGACAAACAGCCCAGACCCCCGACGTCGTGATTTCTTCACAACGTCGACCCCCAGAGGTCTGGACCCTTTCCCCTGGACCGGGTGTTCATCCCGAGTCGTTTTTTGACGCTCCCGGGGCCTGGCGAGGGGCCCCCCGAGGCCGAAAATTGCGGAAAAGCCTCCCGTCGTGATTTTTCCGCGACGCCAGGAGGTCTGGGAGGAGAAGGCACCCCAGGAGGGGGGACCCCTGACGGCGAGGAAGTCGGGAGGGCGACGAACACCTTTGCTCGTCGGTTCAGCTGCGAACTGGTCTCCAGAGGAGGACACCAGCTCGTGCTGCAGCAGTGCTGGCGGGCGTCTGGGGGGACCTCCGCATCCCCCAGCTCGAGAGCCGCACCTTGCAGGAGGGGGAGGACCCAGACCCCCGACGTAATGATTTTTTCGTTACGTCGACCCCAGAGTTCTCGACCCCTTCTCCAGGACCGGTTTGTCGTCCTGAGTCGTTTTTTGACGCTCCCGAGGCCCGGCGAGGGCCTCCAGAGGGCGAAAATGGCGAAAAACCTCCCGTCATGATTTTTTTCATTACTCGAGGGGGTCTGGGGAGGAGGAGGAGGAGGAGGAGGAGGAGGAGGAGGAGGCAGGAGTGTGAGAGGGAGGAAGAGAAAAAGTGGTTGCAGGCTACAGGTTACAGGTGACGGGCTGTGTCTCCGAGGGACGGCCCGCGCGGGGCACAGCCTTGAAGGGGCCCTGGGACGCACAAAATAAATACACACAGATAAAAAGATTGCCCATATTTTTCCATATTTTCCCATATTTTCCCATATTTTCCCATATTTTCCCATATTTTCCCATATTTTCCCATATTTTCCCACATTTTCCACTATTTTCCCATATTCCACTTCCCATATTTTCCACTTCCACTCCCATATTCTGTCTCCCCCCCCACTTCCCATATTTTCCCATACTTTCCTGGGAGTGGACGATGAATTGTGTCTGTGTGTTTCTTTCCCTCCTGAGACAGCGAACGCAAGATCGCGCGCCTGACGACGCAGTGCTGCGTGTCTCAGAAAAGTTGGCGGCGGCCATGAAACGGACAAAGGGGGGGAGAGGAAGAGAAAAAGTGAGTGGACCCTGAGATCCGGCGTGGCGGCAAAATTGCACCGTCGTAGAACATCACGCCCGGGGCCCTAGACAACGTCGTTCTGCGTCATCTGTCGAGCCGGATCCAGCTGCGAGGGTCCCGCGGCCCGAAAAAGGGCGAAAACGCCCAGCTCGAAAAAACTGGGACGCCAGGATCGCGGGGGAGGGAGCAGAAGGAGGGGGCATCGACGGGTCGGGCTGGGGGAGGCAGACCCAGACCCCCGACGTCGTGATTTTACCTAACAGCTTTTGCTGATAGGTTTCTAGTAGGGTCAAAAGAGAGCATCTGGACTCCACAGAGGGGTCTGGGCGGGTGCCGGGGAGGAGAACCGGGAATCGTTTTTCGCCAACAGTCACACACTTCGTGCTCTTCGACCTCCCAGAACTCCATTCCCGGGCCACATTCTGGAGAACCGGGAACAGAGCCGGGCTCGCTTTTCGCCAACAGTCACACACTTCGTGCTCTTCGACCTCCCAGAACTCCATTCCCGGGCCACATTCTGGAGAACCGGGAACAGAGCCGGGCTCGTTTTTCGTCAACAGTCACACACTTCGTGCTCTTCGACCTCCCAGAACTCCATTCCCGGGCCACATTTTGAATGCCCGGAGCCAACTGTAGGCCACTTCGTGCTCTTCGACTTCCCAGAACTCCATTCCCGGGCCACATTTTGGATGCCCGGAGCCAACTGTAGGCCACTTCGTGCTCTTCGATTTCCCAGAACTCCATTCCCGGGCCACATTTTGGATGCCCGGAGCCAACTGTAGGCCACTTCGTGCTCTTCAAGTTCCCAGAACTCCATTCCTGGGCATGATTTTGAATGCCCGGAGCCAACTGTAGGCCACTTCGTGTTCTTCTAGTTCCCAGAACTCCATTCCTGGGCCACATTTTGAATGCTGAGGCAGGCTGATGCTGCGGCCGAGGCAGGCTGAGGCTGAGGCAGGCTGAGGCTGAGGCCGAGGCTGAAGGCAGACTGAGGCTGAGGCTGAAGCAGGCTGAGGCTGAGGCTGAGGCAGGCTGAGGCTGAGGCTGAGGCAGGCTGATGCTGAGGCAGGCTGAGGCTGAGGCTGAGGCTGATGCAGGCTGAGGCTGAGGCAGGCTGAGGCTGAGGCCGAGGCTGAAGGCAGACTGAGGCTGAGGCTGAAGCAGGCTGAGGCTGAGGCTGAGGCAGGCTGAGGCTGAGGCAGGCTGAGGCTGAGGCTGAGGCAGGCTGAGGCTGAGGCTGTGACTGCGACTGCCGTTGCCGCTGCGACTGTCATCGCGAATGCGACTACGACTGCGAGAACAGCAGAATTCTACAACTGGATTTTCATCTGAATCTTAAGGGGAATGCTTTCAGATATGCTTCTACATATCGCTGTTAGGTTGCTTTGCCGGGATAATCCTGAGTCGTTTTTTGACGCTCGCGAGGCCCAATCAGGGCCCCCGGAGGCCGAAAATCGCGAAAAACCTCCCGTCGTGATTTTTCCAAGACGCCAGGAGGTCTGGACCCCTTCCCCGGGACCGGTTTTTCATCCTGAGTCGTTTTTTGACGCTCCCGAGGCCCAATCAGGGCCCCCGGAGGCCGAAAATCGCGAAAAACCTCCCGTCGTGATTTTTTCACGACGCCAGGAGGTCTGGGGGGGAGGCAGAGGGAGGAGAGCCCCGGCGTCGCGGGCCGACGGCGGATGCGCTTCGGAAAGGGTCCCGGGAGGGGGCGGGCTCCACGAAGCGCCGTGCGAGGCCAGCTCCCGGGGGGGGGTCCTCGCTGCGCGAAGGATCCTCTCTCGGCGGCTCTGGCGGGCTCTTGGCCAGAGGAGGGAGGCGAAAAGGACAAGGGGAGGGAGAGGAGGAGAGGAGGCGAGGAGAGGAGGAAAAGAGGGAAGGGGGGGAGAGGAGGGGAGGAGAGGAGGGGAGGAGGGGATGCTGGATGCTGGAGTGGCCTGCCTCCGGAGGGGCAGGTCCGAGAAGAGAGAGAGAAAGCGAAGCGGACAGCGAAACAGGCGTGGGAGGGGGGCGGACGCGCGGGCGAACGCGTCCGAGCGTGAGGCGCACCAACAATATGGCCAATCCGGTCGGAGAGAGGCCCTACGCACCCCCCGTGGTGTCGAGAAAGTGCCACGCCTGCTTTGCCCTGGACGATTGGCTCGGATAGCGGCCGCGCTCAGACCACCCCCTGCGCACCCCTCATGGTGTCGAGGATATGCCACGCCTGCCACGCTTTGCGGGCCCGCAAGGTGCGCGTGGGTGAGGGAAGGAGGAGGAGGAGGAGCAGGAGGAACAAAGTGTGGCCCTTTTCCCTGTCATAACATCACATCAGTTAACAGAACATGAGGAGAGGGGGAGAGGACAAGCTGGGTGCGCTTGCGCCGTATCTGGCATCCTAACCCTCCCACCCGTCCCTTCCCGTCGCGCTGATCCGTGTCTCTCTGTCCGCGGAGGCGTGTCTCTCTGTCCGCGGACCCCGTCGTGTGATGCGCAATCGGGAAATAGAGTTTCGCACATTGGAGGAGGCAGCGGACGAGCAGAAGGATAAGCAGAAGGAAAGAGAGTAGGAGGAAGGATAAGGGAGGAACGTGGAGGAGGAGGAGGAGGAGGAGGAGGAGAAGGAGGACGAGGAGGAGGAGCAGCAGCAGCAGCTGGAGTGAAGGATCGGGCAGAGCAGGAGGACCAGGGGAAGGCGGAGGAGGGGAGAGGAGGGGGGCGACAACGATGCGGAAAGACTCGGGAGGGAGAGAGGGGAAGAGTAGGAGTAGGAGTAGGAGGAGGAGGACGAGGAGGAGGATCGAGGAGGAGGAGGAGGAGGAGGAGGAGGAAGAAGAGGGGGGCGACGACGATGCGGAAAGACTCGGGAGGGAAAGAGGGGAAGAGTAGGAGTAGGAGTAGGAGGAGGAGGAGGAGGAGGAGGAGGAGGATCGAGGAGGAGGAGGAGGAGGAGGAGGAAGAGGGGGGCGACGACGATGCGGAAGGACTCGGGTGCAGAAGAAAGGCCTGCGCTGGGGCGGGAGTGTCATTCTGAACGACGGGAGCTTCGCGCCGATCTGAAAATGAGGCCCACGCTGCAACGGCAGAACCACTGCGAAGCACCGAACAAACCGGACTGAAAGCAACAAGCCTTGTGAATCCTGCGTATAAAACAATTCGTGGAAAGGGCGGAGCAACTTCTGCACAGAGTCCGGGGAGAAGAGAGAGA